GAATTGCATAATTTCTAGACTCTTACTATTTTGGATGGATCCCTGCTTATCAGCATACTTTCCTAGTGGGGGATGCTTCCCTGGTAAATTTGAAAATGTTAGAAATTGCCAAGATTATAGGGATGCTGCTTAAACACTCTTGGACCACAAGTGATCTATTACAGCTGAATTATGGCTGATACGGGCTCCATTGCAGACAAGTTACTCATACGCCTTTATCAGTTCTTTGCACACACTGAAAGGTGGGGACCTATCAGCTCAATCTGCTTTTATCCATGTTTTTTCACTTGACTGGAGCATTTACTTGAAGTACAAATGAAGCTTTAAATGTGACAATGAAAACAATGAGTCAGGATGATTGCCTTTTGCAGAAAAGCTTAACCCATAGTAGTCAGTCTTTAAAGTGAAAGTACAAGTAGTTTCATTTATTTATTTTCAATCACAGTTAGCAGAAAGATAATGGGTTTATGGAATATTGCCCAGTAAGGAATAGCAGTTTCCTCTGAATTAGTAATCATTCAAAATCAGTAGTATCCCAAATGTGATCTTGCTGCTTCTTTGGTCAAGGTGTGGAGAAAGGGAAGCTCTGTGTGACCTTTGCTGGCTAGGTAGTTCCCAACCATCCAGATGCTTCGCAATTGAATTAAAGGTTACCAGATAACCATCATGCTCCTAAAAGGCATAGCTAAGTCTTAATTAGTTATTTTCTCTCTTTTTGGGGGGGCGGGGGGTGCGGGGTGAATGACACTTTGAGGTTTATTGATGTCTTTTGTTTTTACATTATATCTTTTACAGATCACTCCCATACTTTGAGCCTCTTGTACCAAAGTTATTACAGTTAAATAAACTACAGTTAAATAAAACACAGGGACCTCATCTGAAAGTATATGCAGCATTTAACATCTATAGTATACACACACACACACACACACACACACACACACACACACACACAGCTTCCATATTTTTTAATGAATAGAAATCTATTTTCTATCCTTTTTTACCCTCACCCCATTGGGGAAAATGAAGAGAAAAAAATAAATTTCTTATAACAAATATTCATACTCAAGAAAAACAAATTCTCCTAATGGCACTACACACATATACGCACATATACAGTCATGTCCAACTCTTCGTGACCCCATTTGGGGTTTTCTTAGCAAAGATACTGGAATGGTTTGCCATTTTCTTCTCCAGTTCTTTTTACAGATGAAGAAGTTGAAGCAAACAGGGTTAAGTGACTTGCCCAGGGTCACATAGGTAGTAAGTGTTTGAGGCTGGATTTGAACTCAGATCTTCCTGACTCCAGATGCAGGGCTCTGTCCACTGAGCCACCTAACTGATAAATATGCGTGTGCAAGTATATGTGTGTATATACTATAAATATATATGTATTTATGTGTATGTGTGTGTGTGTGTATTCCCTACATCAATTCATTATTTTCAAGCCTTGAGAACTCTAGAGTAAAGGATAACTACCTTCATTTTTGAGATTTCAGGTGACCCAAAAAAAGGAAATATCACGTTCCCAAGCTTTAATCTAGGAATATCATAGAATCATAATTTGTATCTAGAGTGAAAAGAGTCTTTTTAGATATTCTCTGGTCCTGGAAATGTTAAGCAGAACTGGAATTAGAACCCAAGTCCTTTGACTCCAAATTTAACATTCTTTAAATCAAATCAAGCTTAAAAAATTTTTATTAAGTGCCTACTATGTGTCCCTTATGTGTAACATGAGAATTGGACCACTTATCTTTTCCTCTAACTCTAAAATTGCATGCGTGTATACGTAAGAAACAAAGAAGTTAGGAGTTTAAATGACATCATTAGGAAATTTAAATGAATCATCAAATATAAAATATGTAATTGATGCCATTAAAGAATCTGAATCTGAATTTCCTGTCTATATGAAATGGTTTAGTCCTTTTCATCTCTTGATTACTAACCCTTCATTTTACCCTTAAAAACAAATTCAAGAAGAAATTATTTGGTGTTTTCTATCCATCTATTTTGGGTGCAGTTAAGTGGTGCAATGGAGTCAGGAAGAGTCACAAAAGACTCATCATTCTGAGTACAAATACAGCCTCAGGTGCGTAACAGCTGTGTGACCCTGGGTGAGTACTCAACCCTGTTTGCCTCAGTTTTCTCATCTATAAAATGAGATGGAGAAGGAAATGGGAAACTACTCCAGTATCTTTGTCAAGAAAATCCCAAATTGGGTCAAGAAGAGTTGGACAGGACTCAACAACAACAACATTATTCATCCATTTAAATGACCCACCCAGATAAGGACCTTTGGCTACCTGTTCGTTTGGTTTTTTTAATCAGACCTATGAGTTCAATGGTATAGGGAGTTCCCAAGGAGGAAATTCCCTCTGCCAGTGTAGATCAGCATCTGCTTTTCCACAATTTAGTCTTGTGAGAGTTGCCCACGCCATGGAATGGTTAAGCGACTTCCCAGATTCTCACAGCCCATCTGTCAGGGTCTGGACTTGAACCCAAATAGTCCAGACCGTATTCACTGTACCCCATTACCTCAGTTAGCAGTTCAAATCTGAGCAAACTCAGACAACTTCTAAACAACCTTCTACATGAAGCCTTTCCTAATTACCAACCCCCAAAGGCTTGTGCATTGACTCTCAAAACTACTGACCAATGGATGAAAAAGGCCAAGCCAGAGAAAGAGCTGCCAAGGCAGCTAGGTTGTGAAGTGGATAGAGTGCTGTCCTTAGAGTTGGGAAGACTCATCTTCACGAGTTCAAATCTGGCCTCAGACACATACTAGCTGTGTGACCTTGGGAAAGTCACTTAACCCTGTTTGCCTCAGTTTCCCCATCTGTAAAACAAACTGGAGAAGGACATGGCAAAACACTCCAGTATCTCTGCCAAGAAAACCCCAAAAAGGGTAATGTATAATAACAAAGAAAGACAAAGAGCAAAAGAGGAACAGGAATGTGTCATGTGCAGACTCTGAAAGTAGGATTTTAATATCCTGTTCATTAAATGAATATTTAATGAATGGTTATCATGGATAAAGGCACTGTTTGTCCTTTGTGTATTCTTTGTCTATACAGACACACATGTTCTCTTCCCCCTTTGGAATGCAGGCATACCTCATTTTACTGTGCTTCACTTTATTACTTTTCCCAGATAATGCATTTTTTACAAATTGAAGGTTTATGGCAACCCAAAGTCGAGCAATTTTAGTGGTGCCATTTTTCTAACAGCTTGTGCTCACATTGTGTCTCTGCGTCACATTTTGGTAATTCTTGCAATATTTCAAACTTTTTCATTATTATTATATCTGTTAGGGTGATCTGTGATTAGTGATCTGTGACGTTACTATAGTAATTGTTTTGGGGCACCCAACAATATTGAAATGAGAACAATTAATAACCCTACATTGGCCTCTAAGTGTTCAAGTGAAAGGGAGAGTCAGTCGATCTGGCAAACTTCATTATTGTCTTATTTTAAGAACTTGCCACAGCCACCCCAACCTTTAGCAACCACCACCCTGATCAGTCAGCAGCCATCAATATCAAGGCAAGACCCACTAGCGGCAAAAAGATTACAACTCACTGAAGGCTCAGATGATAGTTAGCAAAGTGTTTTCCAATTAATGCATATACATTATTTTTAGACATAATACTATTGCACATGTAATAGACTACAGTATAGCATAAACATAACTTTTATATGCACTGAGAAACCAAAAGATTTGTGTCATTTGCTTTATTGCAATATTTACTTTATTGTGGTGGCCTGGAACTGAACCATGCAATATCTCCAAGGTATGCCTGTACAACACCCTTGGGGCAGTTCACCTTTGCCTTTGAATTTCCAGCTTTTAGCACAATGCCTGGATAATAGGTGCTTATTAATTGACAATTTTCCTTTACTCACATACAACTCTTTCAATACCTCAGGGATCTGTCACTCTGTCATTTCACTGTTGGACCCTCCCTCTGGTAACAAAAATTGCAGTCCCTCCACAACTCAGGAGATTGTCTTTGAGATTCAACATGCGGCTGGTCGAAAAAATTATCACCCTAGTGATGAGCTATTTTCCAAACCAAATGAAGCTGATCAAAAATGCTCACGTGGTCCATTGCTGTGCTTGGAGCTTCTCTGTCTAAGACCTACCAGGGTATGTGCCTTGCTGGCATAGCCAGTATACACAGCCCTATATGCTACAAACCTCAAATACCAAATATAATATAATGCAAGATAGGATTTTTGCTAAGTATGATGTCTGTGCAGCTAAGTTTTGAACACCTCAGGAAGGCTCTGACTAAATTTCACACAACTGGCCAAAACATGGCTTATTTCGTCAAAACAGTTTATGTTGGTGCAGATAGACCAAAGAAATGCAATTATTTGACAAAATTGTATCTACTATTTTCTTTGAGTTGTCAAATCAGTTTATATTTGTGGGCAAACCTTAGAAAAGTCATTATTTTGAATATTACATTTTAACAATAATAATAAATGCTAACATTCATATACCTCTTTTGCAAAATGTTTCACAAACATCATCTCATTTTATAATCACAACAACCCTGGGAGGTGGGGTGCTATTATTATCCTCATTTTACAGATGAGCAAACTGAGGGAGAAGTTGCTAAGTTGGCAGGTGCGTCTGAGTTGAGATTTGGAGTCAGGTCTTCCTCAAAATGTTCTATCTTCTGTGAAAGCTGGCTGATTGTAAAATCTCCATCTAAGCAGCACCTCTTGATGCACCTTATTCTATATTTTGGAGCATTATGACAGCATGATGCAGTATGTACATTTTTGTCAATCAGCAATGTGATTGTCAAAATATACAACCAACATAATATGCAATCAACACTGTGGCAGTGGAAAGTCCTACCCTCAAGAATCATACATTCTAATGAGGAAGACAATATGTAAATAATACATGATAAAGATGATTTACAGTTAGACCTCTACTTCTCTGAGGCTCTCATTCTGCTTTCGAAGACCTATAATTGTAGACTTACCTCACATTTACTCCACGGGTCAGGAGCATGTTTCTTGGTCCACTGTGGCATCCATGGTCTGAAGGATTCACTATTTCTTGTCTGGGGCCTTCCTTTTTGTTTTTGAAGTAGTGAGGGCGCCATATTTCTTCCTTACCAGTCTCTCCTGGTCCTTGCCTGTTTGCTAAAGCACTAGCTTTGAATGACTTTTTTCTTAGCCTTTCATGAGTGGGGCCTGCTTCCCTTCTCACTCCCACCTTCATTTCTACCCATTCTCTCTTTACCTTCCAATCTCAGCCAATACCCAGTCCCCAAATTTCCTTCCATTAATGTCATTTGGCAAGGTTTTTGTCTTCTGATTTATGACAGAGATTATCCAGCTGCTCTCTTAGATAAGGGACCCTGGCATGAAGTATCTGACAGTCAGTCTCCTCCTTCTTCCTGGCCCCCACTTCTCTGTAGAATCAAAGAGGAAAAATAATCTTTCCCCAAAATAGCTCTAACATCAACCCTTTACCAACCCTTTACCAAATGTTGAATTTTCTAAACACTTCCCAGAGCTATCTCTGTTATTCCCTCTGCTCAGAAACACAATTATGGGATTTATTTAGTCAAACTATTTGAAATTGAAAAAGAAGTGTGAAAGGCCATATTGGTTCCTGCCCACATTATAGGAAAGCAATATGAAATGCTTCACAGCTAGTTAGAGTCATTAATATGCAACAACATGTACAATTGCTATTTCTTAAATAGGAAGAGTATATGGACCAAAAAAAAAATGTATTAAAAAGGTCGGGTCAGAGATATGAACCACAGGGGAACAGGAAGGTGTGATATAGAGACTCCAAAAGTAGGATTTTAATACCCTGTTCATTAAATATTTAATGAGCAGTTACTATAGATAAGATACTATGCTATAGACACACCCGGGGATTGCAGTGATGTATAAGACACAATCTTCACCATCACCACAACCACCACCACCACCTCCCCACCCATCTCTATCTCATCCCACCCTCTCCCCCCCCCAAGAAGCTTTTAACTTAAAAGGCAAGAAGATGTAAGTCAACAAGCATTTTTTTTCTTGATAATAATTTATTTTTAGTTTTCAACATTCACTTCCATAAGATTTTGAGTTTTAAATTTTCTCCTATTTCCATTCTTCCCCCTGCCCCAAGATGGTGTGAAATCTGATACAGGCTCTACTTATACATTCATATTAAGCATATCTTCCCATTAGTCATGATGTAAAGAACAATTAGAACTAATGGGAGGAACCACAAGAATGAAGCAATAAAACAAAACAACAAAAGAAAAGGAGAGCAAATAGTATGCTTCCATCTGCATTCAGACTCCCTCGTTCTTTCTCTGGATGTGGATAGCATTTCCCATCATGAGTCTTCAACAAGCATTTTTTAAACACTACCTATGTGCCAGGCACTCTCCTAAGCACTGGGGATACAAGGAAAGGCAAAAAATAAACCCTGCCCTCAAGGAGTTTACATTCTAATAAGGGAGACAACAGGTAAATATGTAGATACAGAGTTATAAAAGTAATCCAAATAAGAAAGGCATTAGCATTTGGGACCAGGAGAGGCCACATGAAGAAGGAAACATTTGAGCTCAGTCTTGAATGAAGCCAGGGAAACTGAAGCTGAGATAAGAGGGCAGAGCACAGGGGACAGCCAGGGCAAAGGGCCAGAGTTAGCAAAAGGAGCATCCTTGTTAAGAAATAGCTGAATCAGAGCTTGTGGTGGAAGATGATGTAAAAAGGAAGGAAAGTTAGGAAGAGACCACATTATAAAGAACTTTCAGTGCCAAACAGAGGATCGTATGTTTGATTCTGGAAGCAGGAAAGTCACTGTTAACTCATTGAGCAAAATAGCGATGGTCACATCTACATGTAAGAAAAATAATCTTGACAGCTAAGTGGAAGACGGATTGGAGTTCAGAGATACTGGAGGCAGGGAGTTCAGTTAAAAGGCTATTGCAGTTAGAGGCAGCTAGGTGATAGAGTGGATAGAGCACCAGCCCTGGAGTCAGGAGGACCTGAGTTCAAATTCAGCTTCAGACCCTAGCTGCGTGTCCCTGGGCAAGTCACTTAATCTTGATTGCCTCCCCCCCCAAAAAAAAAAAAGAAAGAAAGAAAGAAAAAGAAAAAAACAAGAAGAAGGAGGCTATTGCAGAAGGCTGGCTCAGAGGTAATGATGACATGAACTAAGGATTGGTTGTATGAGTGGAGAGAACAGGAGGTATTGAAGAGGTGTTGTAAAGATAAGAAGCCATAGAAAGTGCTGGATTTGGAGTCAAAGGACATGAGATTGACTCTCATTTCTGCTATTTACTATCTGTGTGACCTGAAACAAGTCAGTACAACTTCACGTGCCTCAGTTTCCTCTGTAAAATGAGAGGGTTGGATTAGAGAAGCCCTAAGATCCTCTCTGGCTCTAAAGCTGTGATCCTACAACAAACCATTAGCATTTGTTGGTCGTTTTCGCCCATTTGCAGGGGAGGGAGTAAAACACATCAGAATTATTTTAATACACATTGGCCTTATAATTGGGATTTGGGGCATGTTTTCAAATGGTCATTGAAGTCTTGTGATATCTTCACTTGATTTTTTTTTTCTTTTGACTATTTTTGTCAATTCTCTGTCTTGGACGTCAGACTTCCATCAGCGACATAGATAGAATGCAAATGTGTTTCCCCATTGGACAGTTTGTCTTATTCTATATTGATTTGGAGCTCATTTTTAATTTCATGTAATTGGACTTGTGCATTGTATCTCTTACGAATCCCTCCATCGTTTGGTCAAAAGAGGCAAAGTGTGGGTGAATAAATAATAATAATAATATATTTGTTTAGTGCCTATTTTGTGGCCTGTACTGTTCTAAGAGCTTCACAAATATTACCTCGTTTGATACTCAAAACAACCCTGATAGGTAGGTGCTATTATCCCTATTTTACAGTTGAGGAAACTAAGGCAGACAGAGGCGAAGTCATGCTCAAGATCACACACCTCATAAGGGTCTGAGTCTGGATTTGAACTGAGATCTTCCTGACCAACCTCACTAACTTAAAAATAATTCAGTGCAGCATCATCTACATTTAGGAAGGGTTAGCAGTTATCACTGTCATATGTGAACAACACACTGTCATTCAAGTACAAAATAACACAAAGCACAGACGTGATTTAGACCTGCAATTACAAACCTAACTACAAAATGCATACAACACAATTCCTAATCCCTCCTTTCCTTCCTCCCCTGCAAGAACTGTAACTGGACCTTTTCCAAAGACAAAGTACATGTTGTTTTCCCTGCACAGTAAGAAATGTCTTGACACAAAGGCCAATCTAAAGGGGACTAATCCTTTTCAAGGAAGGTAACCACTGCCTCTGTACAATTTAATCCTCACTTTCAGCCAAGAACCTGAAGAGGGGTGGGGTGGGGAAGAGGCATTACTTTGTCTAAAATAATAAAAAAGAAACTATAGTCCCACATATAACAACATCTCAAACCACTGGACAAGAATGCTGTTTTAGAATTCTCAGCTCTGGGAAAATGGCCAAAGATTCAGACATTTCCATTCTCAATAATAGTTTATTATTCCTTTATATTAGTGTTGATATTTCTCATCAGCAAACTTATTAAGCCCTACATGCCAGCCACGGATTGTTCTGTTCCCCTGCATAGGGCATTCCATCTCCTATCTCCAGGCCTTTGAATAGAACAGCCCTCAAGGTTGGAATTCTGTCCCTAATCCCCTCTACCTCTGGGGAACCCCCCCCACTCTCTCTTCAAGCCTCACTTCAAGAGGAATTCCTTTAAAAGGCTTTTCTTAACTCTTCTGCTGCTCTTCTCCCACCTCACTGTATAATCCATGTATATATGCATATATTAATATGCACTATAAATATGAACATATAAGTATATATGTATATATAATATATTATGTAGATGTATCTTATATATAAATATATTTTTAAATATAAATTATAGGCATATACACATATACACACATGCACCTAGAGATACACATTATTAATATATATATTATATCTATATATGTATATAAGAGATGTGAAGGTATGCAATCCTAGAAAGTGCTAGATTAGGATTATAAGGACGTGGAATTGAAACCTAACTCTGCTACTTATTATCTCTGTGACTTGGAACAAGTCACTTAACCTTTATGGGTCTCAGTTTATGTACATATATATGTGCATGTTTGTGTATGTGTGTATAGATATATGTATATGTATATACCTATACATATACACACATGCATACATATGTACACTTATACACAAACATATGTGTGTATAAGGATATGTATTTTTATATATGAGTGGGTATATTATGTGAGTATATTATAACATATGTGTGTATGTATGTATATATATACGTGTGTGTGTGTGTGTGTGTGTGTGTGTGTATAACACCTTCATTTAATTCATCCATCCTCACTAACTATTATCCTATATCTCAACTCCCTTTCACTGGGGGGCCATTGACAGCCATCTTGACTTATGTCTTACTACTAGACTCCAATGACTCAGGAGGAGAGAGTGAGGTGGATGACTTTGCACACAGCCCTGCCTCATTTCAATCCAATTCACTTGCAAGTCAAGACATCACCCTCCTGATGTCATTAGTCCTCTTTGAGAATGAGGGACGAACAACAATCTGAGAAGAACCTGCTACATATTCTGAAGGTCCATCCCAACTTGAAGACTCCACAAAGTTTTCTAGAGCCCGAGTGTTAGTACTTCTGGATATAGAAATGCTGTATTTGAATTAGAGTATTTCATGTGGATCTCTCTCCTTGGCCAACAATCACGTTCTACTTAGTGTATTTAGCTTCATAATGAGCACCCCACACACACCCTAAGATTGTAAACTCCTAGAGAGGGAACAAAAATTGTATCACTTTTCATCTCTGTATTGTCAGAGAAAGAAAAAAATGTAAAGTTTCTACATTTGGGTTCAAAAAATTAACTTCATAAGTACCCAAAGGGAGAGATGTGGCTATACAACCGTTCCTATATTTTTTAAAGCCCTGGTAGGTTCAATGGACTGAAACCTTGGTATGATTTAATAATGTGACATGGCACCCCCAAAAAGCTAATGCTATTCTAAACTGCATTAAGAAAGGCACAGTGTTCAAAACAAGAGAGGAACTCATTCCATTATACTTTGTGTTGGTGTGCCTACATTTGTGTTCAGTACTGAACACCTGATTTTAGAAACACTAGAGTATATGTGGAGGAGGACAATCAGGATGCCAGGTGGATTGGAGAATATCC